AAAAAGATATTTTGATGAAATGGACAGGTTCTGAGAAAAACACTACTGATAAAAACTGACAGGAGAAGAAATTAAAAATCATAATGGTCATATATCAAAGAAATTGATAAAATATCTTCCCACAAAGAAAACTTTAGTCCCAGAAGTCTTCACTAGTAAACTTTTGCAAACTTTTACGGGGAAAAAAACACCAGTCTTACATAACTCTGTGCAATTAAGGAATAGGAAAAAAGAAAATACTTCCTGATTCATTTATAAGACCAGCATAACTTTGATTTCAAACCACGACAAGGACATTATAACAAAGGAAAATTATAGACCAATCACTCTCATAATCATAGATGTGACTCATAATCAAAATATGAATAAAATAAATCTAGCAATACTTATGAAGAATAATACATCACAACTGAGTTGTTTTTATTCCAGGAATGCCATTTGTTTATGCTTAGAAAATCAACAATGTAAATACCACATTGTTGAATAAAAAGAAAAAAAAATCATACGATTATCTCAATAGATACAAAATAGGTGACAAAACTCATTATTCATTCATGATTAAAACAAATATAGCAGAAAAGAAATATAAGATAACTTCCTTAATCTGAATAAGAGTATCTACTAAAGTCATCACCCTGGGTAAATAAAGTTTAATCCCATGGGGGAACTCTGGGAGCTAGGGCAAAACACAAACTTCAGTCTGATAAGCAAAGGATCTAGGGTATACAGCAACTCCCATCAGTCATTGGTTGAGTTCTACTGACTGAGCTTATTCCCTGGAAATTCTGGTTTGCTACTGCAGGCAGCAGAGAGACTCCAAGGGACAGGGAATGCTCTCAGCAACAATAAAAAAATGTGAGTGTTGGCGTTTGGAAGAGAGGCTGGTGGTGTGCACTAAGAGGAAAAGACAAGAGGTTCTGGCTGGGTTACCAATGAGTTTGTTACTGAACACCTAAATAAATGAAAAGGTATATCATGTTCATAGATAAAAAGTTTTGGGGCTGGCCCAGTGGCATAGCGGTTGAGTGCACGTGCTCTGCTTCAGTGGCTGCAGGTTCTGATCCCTGGCGTGCACCAATGCACTGCTTGTCAGGCCATGCTGCGGCAGCATCCCATATAAAGTAGAGAAAGATGGGCACGGGTGTTAGTCCAGGGCCAGTCTTCCTTGGCAAAAAAAAGAGGACGATTGGCATCAGATGTTAGCTCGGGGCTGATCTTCCTCATAGAAAAAAAAAATAAAGTTTGATATTGTAAAGGTGTCAATTAACCCCAGACAGATAGTGAGTCAATGAAATCCCATTCAAAATCCCAGACACCTTTTCCATAAAATTAATAGGCTAATTCTAAAATTGATATGGAAATTTAAAGGGTTAAGAACAACAAAGGCAATCTTGAAGATGATTAAAGTTAGAGAATTTACATAAACAGATATAAAAACTTATTTTAAACCTATAGTAACTAGACATTGTATTGGCACAAGAATAGACAGATAATGAAACATTAAAAAGAATCAAGAAACAGACCTACACATATATAGTCACATGCTTTGGCAAAATACACACTGCATAGGAAAAAATGGCTCTCAAATAGACACAGCTCAATTGGATATCCATATGAAGAAAAAGAAATGGATACTGAGCGCTCCACTCAGATGCAACAACCAATTCCAGATTGACTGTAGATCTTTGTGTAAAAGTTAAAGCAATGTAGCTTGTAGAATATATCTAGAATAATATCTTCACATCATTGGGGTGTGCAAGGATTTCTTAAATAGTCACTAAAAGAATAAACTATAAAAGAAAAGATTGAGAAATTAGTCTTCACTAAAATGAAGACTTTCTGTTCATAAGAATCCATCATTACAGGAGTAAAGAGCAAGCCACAGAGTGCAAGATGTTAGCAGTTCATAATGAGTAAAAAGCCTTGCTATAGCCTGAATGTGTCCCCCCAAAATTCATACGTTGAATCCTAACCCCCAAAGGCTATAGTATTTGGAGGTGGGGCCTTTGGGAGGAGATTAAGTCATAAGGGCGGAGCCCTCGTGAATGGGACTGGTGCTCTTATAGAAGAGACCCCACAGAACTCCCTTGCTCCTTCCACCATGTGAGGACACAGTGAGAAAGCACCAGCTATGAATCAGGAAGAGGGCCCTCACCCAACCATTCTGGCACCTTGATCTTGGCCTCCTTGACTCCCAGAACCGTAAGAAGTAAATTTCTGTTGTTTATAAGCTACCTAGTCTGTGTTTTTTTGTTATAGCAGCCCAAATGAACAAAAATAGGCTTCATGTCCAGACTATCTAAAGAATTCTTACACATCAATAAGGAAAAGACAGTTGACCAATTTCAAAAATGAGGAAGAGATGTTAAAAGGCACTTCATGAAAGAGGATATCAAAATGGTCAATAAACATATTGGCCTCATTAATCATTAAGTTAATGTAAATTGAAACAATGATAGAATTCCACCAAACATCTGCAAGAATGCCTAAAATTAAAAAGACTAACAACATCAAACACTGACAAGGATGTGAAACAAGTGGATCACTCACACACTGCTGGCAGATGTAGAAAGTGGTGCAGCCACTTTGGAAAACCATTTGGCAGAATCCCCTAAAGGTGAACAAATGTGTAACAAAGCAATTCTACTCCTATGTTTATTTATATCCAACAGAAACACAAACATAGGTTTATCTAAAGACACATAGAGAAATATAGTCATGTAATAGGAAAAACTGGAAAAAGTACAATAGAATTTTTAAAAATATAGTTTATTCATATAACAGAATGTTACAGATAAATAAAATTAATACTACTCCTGTAACATGGATTAATTTCTCAAAAATAATGTTAAAAATCAAATACAAGAGTATATGTATACTGTGAATTCATTGTAAAAGCTCTAAAATAAGTAAAACTAGTTTTTGATTTCCCTGGTGTCAGAAGTAAGAATCATGTTGCCTCTGGGAAGAAGAGAGAGTTCCTATGAGGCTGCACAAGGCAGTCTTCTGAGATAGAGGGCATTTATTATTTTTCTGGGAAGAGGTGATGGCAATGTGTTCACCTGCGAAAATGCATTGAGCTGTCCACTTATGTATTGTTTATTTTTCTATGTGTGTTCTACTTTCATTAAAATGTTTATTTAAGAAAAATTAAAAACAAACAACAATCCATTAATTATTTTCATGTTTTTTAATGTTAGAGAAATTTTTCCAGGACAAATATCACTTGAGTAGGAAAATTTTTGTCAGATTTTGCCCAGTTCCTTCTGTGGGTTTTTTTATTTTTTTCCATCTATTAATCTCTACTACATGTAATTTAATTCGCTTAAATAAAATTTATGGTTCTGTGTATCTATTTATCTATCACATATTTACGTATGTATCTTTCTACTACTGTGTATAGCACAGAAAGTTAAATTGGAAGATGAACACAGTACCACTGTTTATTGCTCAGCTGTTTGTTGTATTCAGTATTATTTTTTATTGAGTGCTATAATTTTTTAATAAAAGTAATAAAAGGTTTAGACTTGAAAGAAATAATTCAACCTCTTAAGTAGTTTTTTAATCATATCTTTTAAATATATTAAATATATCATTTGTCCAAATCATGTTTGCTCACATGTATACCCCACGGCTTTGTCAGATTTTTTTAATTCTTTTTTGATCTTCACCATCCAAGATAATTATAAACTAAAATGACTTCAAAAGACGATTCATACATTTTTATTTTCTTATTCAATTTTACTTTTTATCTTATTTCTTACTACTCAACACTATTTTTTTTTTTTTCTTTTAAAAATTTCTGGTGGGTTCCTTTCAAATTTGCATGGATGGTTTTTTAGGGTCACTTGAAAGAGTGATGATTGCATACATCATTGTCCACATTTCCTCAAGCAAGACACCAAAATTAAGATATACTTGTATCTCTACAATAACACAAAATAAACCAATTAAAATTTGCATGTATCTTATACCTTTACGTTGACTTTTGCTGCTTAGTACTAATTTGTCAGTTAAGGTTGGAGGAGCACCATCTTCAACGACACTTTAGGAAGCTCCCATCACAGCATCCTATGCGCCACAGCCCTCCATGATTCAGTTGACCCTTTATTTAGTTGCATATTTTACTAATTTCAAAGTTATGTACAAACTTCCTGTTTTTAGCTACTGAGACACATTCCCAATTAAAGGCATAAATTTGTAAAGACTACATCTTAAAACTATCAGTGAACAACAACCCAAAATCACACACAGAAAGTACTCAGAATTTTTATTTTTATCTCATCAGGAAACTCCTAGCATTAAGCATGCTTATAAACATGCTAATGAAGAAGATTGTGGCTGGAAATTGAATTAATTTGTAGGAGAAAATATGTGTTCATGTAATCAAAAGTAAAAAAAAAAAATTGCTGATTTGTCAAGTGATAACCTTGTTTTTCAGTAACTTGGCTGCATCATCCTCCCTGAACTCACGCCCACAGCTACAGTCTGCTCTTGCCAGCAAGCCCTTTTCCTGTAGCTCTGGTGCTTTAAGGATGATGTTTTCTTAATGCAGTGAGAGATGGGTTGACAACGGTAAGTAAGTTGACTACTAGGCTAAAGCTATCAAGTTCCTCACTAACAAAAGAGTAAATCTTCTAATTACTCATTGAACATAAAACTTATCTGGACATTTACAAATAAATGTGAGATTGGTCAACACGAACTAGTTGAATCCTGCTGATTTTCCTTCTGTCCTTATAGGACTTTTGCATGAAGTTAAGGTAACATTTTAAGTGTAAGAAAATTTAGAACTTCTTTTCCTAAACTTTTGTGTGTCCCAAATATAATTCCACTTACCTGAGGAGTATAAGTACCACAATTTGAGAAGTACAGATCCAGGAAAAAGTGTCAAAGAAAATCTCTCAGCTAGCTTTCAGCTGAATGGGCTAGATCTATTTTTCTTTTTTGAGACTCAAGCGTCACCTAGTTCATTGCACTGGGATTTGATGATTATAGAGTGTGCAGAGTGTTCTATGTGCTTGGTTGAGAAATGAAAAGGTAACAAGATTCATGCACTCAGAGCCTGTCTACCTCTAACAGGAAAAACAGCCAATAGTGCTTGAAGACAAGGAGAGACTCCTACACTGTATTAGTGTTTTACTGGATCAGATAAATCAGCGTATGGGTAAATGAAAATATTCATGGTAGTTTAGATACATTTTGCTTCTTTGTATCCACTGCAACTCCTAACAGCAGTGACTTGCACACTAAAATCCAGTCACACCAGCTTCTTTTCAGTTCATTTCCACCCCAGGACATTTTCACAGGTGGTTTCCTGTGTCCGAAATAACACACACTCATGCAAACCCTTTATCTGGTACTCAATACTCACCTTTCAGTTGTCAGTTTGAATGTCACATCTAAGACTGGATTTGATCCCCTTGATTATGTCGTTATAGGACTCTGCACATCTCCACAGTCCCCTCAAATCCAACAGGACCCACAACTGTCGTCATCACATTTTCTAACTTTTGTGTAGTGCTTCATCTATTTGAAAACTACTTTCGTGTTCATTCTTCTTCTGCTCCTGGAAACCGCACTTCCTGTTATTTGGAGGCAGCGTCAGGTGGCTTCCTGAGTAGCTTGGGCTCTGGAATCAGGTGGCCCGGCTTGCCATCCCAGCTCTCCACTTACTGGTTGTGAGACGTGGCAAGATGCTTAGCCTCTCTGTGCCTCCATTTCTTGATCTCCAACTGGGAATAGTAAGAGCACCTGTGCCCTAGGGCCTGCGACAGTGTCCGGTACTTGGTAGTTACACAGTACACACAGACACTTGTCAGCTCCACCAGTGAACCTAAGTGGTTTGCTCAAGATCAGACAAATAGTCTTTTGATTCCTTTTACATGTCATTTTGGGGCTTTCTTCTTCAAAGTAGACTCAATGTTTTTGCAATAATCATAAATAATTTAAAAATTAACATTTCATTCCAAGGGTTTGTGTTGGAAATTCTAATGAAGGTAAGTTCTGCATGAAGACCTTGACTTCAGTTTTCAAAATGACTAGCTGTTTTTAAATTTACATTCAAGAGAAAACACTTTTCAGAATTCTATTTTTAGTCAAATGCATTGATATTTCCTACAGATGACATGCTGTACCAATTGAAACCAGAAAAATAAAAGAGAGACAAAGGTTATGACATTTAACACTGAATGCCAAGCTCTCTCATCATTAGCAAACAGAGCCTCTTTTTGTTAATTTCTGTAATCAGAAATTGTGAACTTTGTCTCTTTATTCAGTGATGACATTAGGCTTATATTGTTGCCCTGTGCAGTTTCTTCCTGAACACTTGTTCTTTTTTATTTGCATTTTATTTACAAATTATTTTTTCTCTTATTTTGAAAGAAAAAATCTGTCTTCACTAACTTTCTTTTTTTGTTGATATTGACTGATAAAAGTTATCCAGTAGAAATCTAAAGTAACTAAGAAATTCCCGCCCTGACATTACTGTTCTTAAGAATACTTTCCTGGGTCCGGCCCGGTGACGCAAGCAGTTGGGTGCGTGAGCTCTGCTGCCACGGCCTGGGGTTCGCCGCTTCGGATCCCGGTGCACCCTGACCCACCGCTTGGCAAGCCATGTTGTGGTGGCATCCCATATAAAGTGGAGGAAGATGGGCACAGATGTTAGCCCAGGGCCAATCTTCCTCAGCAAAAAAAGAAGAGGATTGGCAGATGTTAGCACAGGGCTGATCTTCCTCACAAAGAAAAAAAAAAGAACATTTTCCTTACACTCACGAGTGTGAAATCGTACCCCCACCTTGCCTGTGGATTCCTTGGACTCTTTTCCATTAAAAGTTACTGAAGAATTGGAAGACTTCTGGCTGGAGACCTTACAGAAATCTTCCAAGTTCTTAGTACCTGAAATTATTGTAATATTTGTTACCTAACTATGATCACACATGTCAAGTGTGGCTGTCAAATTATGTGCTTTTCTTGAGTAGTTTGCTGGTGTGTGTCTTCATTTCTCAATGGTATGCAGGATCCTAGATTTAGAGTTCGAATACAGCCAATCTTCATTATCCATACATTTTGTATTTGTCAGTTTGCCTACTTACTAAAATTTCTTTGTAATCCCCAAGTCAACACACCCAGTATTTTCACAGTCATTCACGGACATGTGCAGAGTGGTAAAAATTTGGAGTCAGCCAATGCCCACTTTCCCAGCTGAACTTGTTTCAGATCTCATGCTGTACACAAGTGTGTCCTTTACACAGTCTATTTAGTGCCTCGTTTTTGTATTTTTGTGCTCTTTGTTGGTGATTTCACTGTTTAAAATGGCGCCCCAGTACGGTGCTGAGCTGCCCGGTAGTGTTTCTAAGCACAAGAAGGTTGTGACAGGCCATACGGAGAAACATACGTGTGCTAGATCAGCGTTGTTCAGAGTTGAGTTATCGTGCTGCGGGCCATGCCAGCAACAACGTATATTAGACAAGGTGTCTCTAAACAAACACACTCATGAAACAAGGTTAGGTGTCTGTCAGTTGTCAAAACTGTTTTGGTGGGAGGGTCGCAGGAAACTAAGCCTGTATTTCCTCTCGGAGCCACAGCTCCATGTTCTGTAACTCAGTGTTCAAGGCAGCTTGATGGAACGTAACTACTGTGAATATGAGACTCGGCCAGACTTCATTGTCAACTCTAAATCTTTGAAATAAGAATTTACACGGATATACTTAGTTTAACTAAAATGCCTCAGTGTATTAACTTGGACAATTTAATAAATTTTTAAAAGTAGAATTGAATAGTTTCACTAAACAGATGAATCAAGCTAGTTATTTAATCTATAGTGGTCCTTTTATGTCACTATGATGTAAAAATATCCAGTCAATGATGTTAATTCTATACTTCAAAAAAAGTCTCCAATGCTTCAAATGACTTGTTTGCCATGAAATAGACCAAACTTAATATCTCATATTTTAATTAGTTATCCAGGTATAGTTTTAGTGTGCTTATTAACAGCATTGCACTAAAAGAGTCTTTCAAAATCCAAATCCTAGAACTGAGAGCAGAGCCTGAGAATGATGAATATGTTATAGAATTTACAAGAAATATGTATTGAGAACCTACTATTGCTAGGTGGTGTTCTAAACACTGGAGTTAAATGGTGAATAAGATAGGCGATGTTCCTACTCTCATGAAACATAATCTAGGAGGTAGAGGCAGACAATAAAAACTTCACAAATAAATACAGATAGTGCTATGTGTAATAAAGATAATATTAGGGAGATGTGTTAGAAAGTGGTGGTAGATGAGGAGGCTATTTTAGATGCTCTGAATGGTAGGAAGCCATGTGAAAGTTTGGGGACCAGAGCAATCCTGACAGATAGAATATCAAGTACAGAAGCCTTAAGTCTCAGAAGATTGTGGTACATTCAAGAGCAGAAGGGTAGCTAGTGTGGCTGGAACTGGGGTCTTCGTGAAGGCCGTGGAGAAGCGGCAAGGCAAGAGACCCACACCTACAGCCCTCACTGGAGGGAGCAGTCCTCTCCGGGTGCCGTCCAGGCGTCCACTCTTCTGCCTTCTCTGCTTTCCCTGTTTCTCCAAATGGAGCCACGGGAACATCTGAGGTCCTCTGCTGCGCCCCTCCTGGACTGTAGAAAATCCTGGGCGTGCTGCTTCACCTCCTTCCTTTTCTTCTCAGGAACCAATATCCCTATTTCTCTACTCCTATACGGCCTTCTGTCCTCGGAAATATCCATACACGGAGCAAGCAGCATTCCCTAGCCATGTTCATTTATGTGGTTAAATCCAGAGACACAAGTCAACTTCTCCCAGGAATTTCCTCATCATGCACAGCTTAGCCCCAACGGCACACTAGAGTATGCACAGCACGCGGAGGAGGGGGCTTCACGAGGGTAACCCCAAGGTCTGCGAGAGATTCTCTTGGACCACTCTTTCCTCCTCCATTAGGAGGGGGATAAACAACTAGAGTCCTTTTCTCAACACTTTAAATATTTCGTCCCACTGTCTTCTTGCTCACATGATTTTTGAGGAGAAGTTAAATGTAATTTTTACCTTTGTTCCTCAAAAGTTAAGGTATTTTTTTCCTCTGGTTTCTTTCAGGATATTTTCTTTACTTTTGATTTTCTATAGTTTCAAATGATACTTTTAAATGTCATCTTCAGTGAATCTTCACTACAGCTTTTCCTTTGGCCTTATGACTTTTTTTTAAGTGCAAGGTTTTGGGCTGTTGTAGATATAAAAGTTTTCTGGGTTTTTTAATATTATTTTTTAATTTTAATTTTATTTTATTAGTGCTGTACAGTACAGATTCTTAAGTCCTGGCTCACCCTACAAATATAACAGGTATATTAACTAGTCTCAACTTAGTGGATTAATATTGATAATGATGATGATAGTTAACATTTATTGAGGACTTACTATGGACCTAGCACTGCTCTAAACATTGCAAATATTGTATTATCCAATCCTCACAACCTTTCTAGGAAGAATACTATTTCCAGTTTACAGATGAAGAAAACTAAAGTTTTTTGGGGAATAAGGAGGTAGGAAGGAGAGTGGTTTGTCCTTTCATTGGTGTGGAGAAGGGATTGATCTAACTAACTTACCTCCTGTTCCTCCTACTCTTTCTGATGTTGAAAGAGAAAGGAGGAATAAAATATGAAGTGGGGGCCAGATTTTGTGATTGGTTGGAGGTGAGAAGGCATCTTTGTCTGGTCTCTCTGTTCCTGGTCACCTCCACCAGGCTGATGGGCTCACATTTCAGTTTCAAGCAAGCCAGTGGAATAGGTGCTTGATGTGTATTTTTCATTCAATAATCCTGCAAGTAAAAGGTGATAGTCTCCATTTTACTGAGGTTCTGAGAGCTTAACTAGAGCTGAGATTTAACAACAGGTATTCTCAACTTCAAAGCGTGTGCTTATACTATTCCTCACTGCCATACTAAAAACATTCCAAGAATGCCAACTCTAGCATGGAATGTTGTTGCATATTGCAGTGTTTTGTGCTTATAAACTAAGGAAAAGCCTTTCATCAGATGAGAGAGACTCAAATTTTGCTGCTGCTCAGAAAAGAAGATTTTTGAAAATAAATCTCAACAATACCAAGTATTGTAAGAAATATATTTTTTCTTTTCCTGTTATGGAAATTTAAAGCAGTAATATTTCAGTTATTTGCTAAGCATTTTTATGAAAATAAGTAAAACAATTAAAAAATACTTACCATCATAATAATAGCAATGAAGGGAAAAATAGGAATAATTTTAATTTTTTTGTCACAGAATTATAATATGCCAAGAACCTGTGAAGAAAGTATACGTATTTTACATGACATTGAAATTATTTCTAATGGAGTTTATATTTGATATTATATTAAAAAACATAAAACATTGCTTTGGGGATTTATGAAAATAATAAAATTGAAAAAGGACTACTTTTCCTATAATTGCAGAACCAGTATACCAGTAAAATTAATCTGAATAGTCCAATCATGCGTATGTTTAACAAACACCTTCTATTTGGTTAGCATTATCCTAGGCATTGAATACCCAAACATAAATAGAACACAATACTCTTTGAATGCAATATGTTCTTTGGCACCTAGGGATACTGAAGTATACAAAACTTATTATGATGTGATAAGATAACTCCATAATGGCAGTGAAATTCAGAAACAAATCCATTTATGAAAATGTTTTTTGGCATAAGAAATAAACAGTTATTATGACATGAATTTCTGAAACAATAAAAATAAATCCATTTTGAAATTCCTGATAGTCTGAGCACCTGCTACATGTAAGATACTCTACTGGGAGCCCTGAGAGATACTGAGATGGCTTCAATACAATGCTGACATCTCTGGATTATTAATTCCATATAGCAAGGCAGTGTACCTGGTAGATGGAGCTCTGACACAAACACTAGTAAATCTCCTTGCGGTTCTTAGCCTGGAACTGTGTCTCCCAAGATCTTTTCAGCTGCTCTTTTTAAGAATTCCTGTCTCAACTCAAATGTCCCCTTCTCAATAAGATTTTCCACAACATCTGATATAATTAACCCTCTCTCTCAGCATACTTCTCTGTTTTATTTTCTTCACCACAGACAACATCCATTATTAATCATAAAGCTCGTGTATTCATGTATCATTACTGTCCATTTCTCCCACAGGATTTTAAGCTCTATAGAAGCAGGGCCTTTTTAAAGCTCAGCACCTCTGTATTCCTAGTTCCAAGAAGGATATCTGGAATATAATAGGCACAAAATAAGAAATTTTCCAGTCATTTAATTGAAGGAACTATGAATAAATACACAGCTTTTTTTCTTCCTTCAATTCATTTATTGAAAAACTGTTTATTAAGTTCCTACCATGTACCAGGAAATTAGGCACTAGGGCTACAGTGATGAACTCCCTAAAGGAGAAGAGTTCAGTCTTGACCAGAGTGACAGGCACAGAAACAAATAAGGAAGTAAATGCAGTTAGAGACAGGGGATATTACTGGCAAGAAGGAGCATATGTAGCAACCCAGGAGCATCAGTGAACTCTTACCTAAATCTTAAAGGAGAAATAGGAGTTGGCCAAGAAAAGAAGCAATGGATAGTGAAAGAAAAAGTAGGATAGGCAGAAGCATAAAAAAGACATAGCTTCAGGACCAGGAAGAAGTCAGCTCTGCAGAATAGAAATTTTTAGCCAAGCCAACCTCTCCCACTCCCCACTAGGCATTCTCCACTAGTGGAGACTGTAGGATGGAGCCTTGTCAACCATCCCCACCCTGCAATAATGGGAGCAGAGACAACTCTTCCTCCTGACCAGGTGCTGAGAAGCATGGAGGGTACAGTGTTGTTGACCATACTCACCCTAGAGTACTGTGAGCAGATGCCATGCCCTTCCTTCTCCCCAGTGGGCTCTGTGGGGACTGTGAGGTGGAGCGCTGTCAACCATACCTGCTTGCACTATGTGAACAACAGCAAATAGGTGGCACTCTAGTCTCTTTGAACTAGAGAGTAGGGCAAAACTACAGAGAAGAGGGAGCTGGATTAACGGATTCTTTAAATCTGTGTATTTAAATCCTGAGAACATTCCAAGCAGCCTTTGTGTGAAACTCACCAGAATCCATACAGGAAACGATTTGAGAATTGAACTACAGTATAGAAAACCACTCAGGTTTCAAATTACCCTCTGCATAGCACACAGAGTAGATCACAGTAGCACAGAAAAGTCTCTGAAAATTAAATTACTTTTTGAATCACGGCCTACAAAGTGGGCCATAAGGTGTATTCTAAACTAAACTTCTTGACTGTCTGCTAAAATAGGACATTTAAGTAGAAACCAGAGACTCATAACATAATATTGAAAATGCCCGCAAGACAATTCAAAATTACCCATTGTACCAAGAATCAGATAATCTCAATTAGAATGAGAAAAAATGATCAACATACACAAACACTGAGATGGCACAGATGTTGTAATTATCTGACAACAATTTTAAATTAGCTCTCATAGAAATGCTTCAACAAGCAATTACAAACACTCTTGAAATAAATGAAAAAAAAAAAAGAAAGAAAGTCTCAGCAAATAAATCAAAGATATAATGAACAAAATGGAATTATAGAAATGAAAAATAAAAAGAGTCACTAGATGGGCTTAATAACAGAATAAAGATGACAGAAATTTAAGATATATTGATAGAAATTATCCAATCTGAGCAACAGAAAGAAAATAAACTAGAAAAAGTAATTAACAAAATCTCAGTGGCTTGTGGGAAAATAACATAACAAGAAAATTTCTAAATACTTAGAAATTAAATAGCACACTTTTAAAGAACCTATGGATCAAAGAGGAAGTCTCAAAGAAAACTAAATTTATTCAACTGAATGAAAATTAAAATACAACATATCAAAATCTATAGGATGCAGCCAAAGCAAAGGATTGAAAGAAATTTATAGCACTATGAGCTTATATTAGAAAACAGAATGTTTTCAAATAAATAATGTAGCTTTTGCATTGAGTTAAAAAATGAAGAGCAAAATAAACTTAAAATTATGCAGAAGGAAAGACATAATATATGTAAAAGCAAAATCAATGTAATTGAAAACAGAAAAACAATAGAGAAAATGAATAAACTAAAGCTGGTTCTTGGAAAATACTAATAATATTTATAAACCTCTAGCAAAAGGACAAAAATAAAAAAAGAGAGTGACATAAGCATTATGGCAGAGTGAGTTGTTCCCTTTTTCTCTCCCCTCTAAGTTACAACCAATTGGACATCCATTGACCAACAGAGAATCTCTACACAGCACAATAGGGTACTGAGGAGAGCCATGCATCTATACATCTGAAGGTGGGTGGACTGGACCCCCAGGGTGCAGTGAAACTAGGGGAGCAGCCCTCTTCCCCTCCCCTGGCAGCAGCAATCCAGGGTGCAGATCCTCAGACTTGCCCTTATACCTGTGAGAAAACAGGCATAGCTTGCTCCCTGCCCATCTCCCAAGGGAGACAGTCTGCTCACCTGTGAGCAGTCCTGGCAGAGGCAGAGAAGGTGGGCCGGCTTCTTCCCTGCCTGTCTCCCAGCAGATCCAGTGTGTACACCTGCTCCCCATCCCCTGGAAGTGGCCAGGTCTTTCCATCCCCAGTAGGGATAGTATACAAAACCTGGATTTTCCCAGCTAGGGCAGGGTTCCCAGACCTAAGTTTTCAAAACACACTGGCTATCTTCAGAGACCTGAGGCTGCACAGTGAACAATGACAAAAACATCTCCCTGCTTAGCTCTTGCCCCTCCCTAAGGGTGGCAGGTGGAACCTGTGACCAGAGGCTTCAGGAACCACAGCAGAATAGGTAACCCAGCCCCCAGTGGTGGCCCCCACAACACCAGCCCGACCAGCAGCAGAGGTTGCATACAATTCCCCAGGTCCCTGGGCCCCCAGCAGCAATAGCAACACCTATGACCCCAGCACCCTGGCAGTGGTGCAACCAGCACCCCCAGACAACCAAGGAGCAGCAGCACAGGTGGAACACAGGGCAGCAACAATTGAATCCAAGGCGAGCCCGCAGAGAGCCAGTGGAGGAAAACAAGACCCAGGTGATCCCAGAAGCAGTATAAGTGCTCATAGCCTGGTGACCCTGGTGTTAACACATGAGACTAAAGTGACATCATAAGCAACAAGCACTAGTGGCACAAGCAGCACAGGAGGGCACTGACAACACTTCTGGCAGAGGCAGCAGAGTGGAAAGCGCAGGCTCTCAAATACAACCAGAAGCAGCTCAGAATCAAAATAACCAAAGCCATATCCAAATAAGAAAGCTGGTTACTACCACAAATGCAACAGCAGAGGAAAACTCATCAAATGCCATGAAGAACCACAGTAACACAGCAAAACAGAAGGAAAATGACAGCTCTCTAGAAACCAAACTTGAAATCACAGAATATTACAATCTAATTGACAGAGAATTCAAAACAGCTGTCATGAAGAAATTCAATGAGTTACAAGAAAACTGAGAAAAACAGTTCAATGAGCTAAGGAATAAAATTAATGAACAGATGGAATACTTTACCAAAGAGATTTGAACTCTAAAAAAAAAAAATACAGAAATTTTGGAGATGAACAATCCAATTAATGAGATGAAAAATAATGTAGAAATCATTAAAAATAGAGCAGACCATATGAAAGAGAGAATTAGTGAGCTCAAAGATAGAAATCTAGAAATGATTCAGATGGAGGACAGAGAACTAAGATTTTAAAAAAATAAAGAAATATTTAGAGAACTATCAATTAGGAAAAGTAACATAAGGATTATAGGTATCCTAGAGGGAGAAGGGAGGGATAAAGGAGCAGAGAGTTTATTCTAAGAAATAATAGATGAGAACTTCCAAAACTGGGGAAGGAACTGGACATGCAAGTACATGAGGCTAATAGAACTCCCAATTACATCAAAGCAAAAAGACCTTCTCCAAGGCATATAATATTAAAACTTTCAAAAGTCAATATCAAAGAAAAAATATTGAGGGCAGTAAAAGAGAAGAAAATAACCTACAAGGGAACACACATCAGGCTTTCAGAGGATTTCTCAGAACAATCCCTATAGTCTAGGAGAAAGTGGAATGATATATTCAAAATACTGAAAGACAAAAACTATCAGCCAAGAATAGTCTATCCAGTGAAATTGTCCTTCAGATATGTGGAATAAATAAAGGCTTTCCCAGACAAACAAAAGCTGAGGGAGCTCATCGCTGCTAGATCTGCCTTACAAGAAACATTGAAAGGAGCCCTCCTACTTGAAACAAAAAGGTAAAGATTGATAAAACTTTCAGCAAGGAGATAAATAGACAGACAAAATCAGAAAATTGCAGCTCCATATCAGAATAGGTTAGTAAACAATAAATTATAACATAAAAGATAAAGGGAAAGAAAATATTAAAAATAACTATCACCACTTCAATTTGGTCACAAACTCACAACACAAGAAAGAATAATTTGTGACAACAAGAACATACAAGGGGAAGAGGAAAAGGATGGACTATGCATAGGCTAATGGAGATAAGAGGCTATCAGAAAATGGACTGTCTCATCTTTGAGATCTTTTATACAAACCTCATGGTAGTCACTAAACAAAAAGTCAGAGCAGAGACACAAATATTAAATAAAGAGAATACCATCACAGAAAACCACCTAACTGAAATGGCAGTCAGAAATACAAGGAAAAAGAAACAATGGAAGCATAGAACAACTGGAAAATAAAATATAAAAAGGCAGTATCAAGCCCGCATATATCAATAATCACTCTAAATGTAAATAGTTGAATTCACCAATCAAAAGACACAGAGTGGCTGGATGGATTAAAAAACAAGAACCAACAATATGCTGCCTCCAGAAAACACATCTCAGCTCTAAAGACAAACATAGACTCCGAGTGAAGGGATGGAAGGTGATACTCCAAGCAAATGGCAAGCAAAAGAAAGTGACTATAGCCATACTTATGTCAGACATAACAGTCTTCAAGCTACAAGAGATAGCAAGAGACAAAGATGGGCATTATACAATAATAAAAGGGATATTTCAGGAAGAAGGCATAACACTTATTAACATATATGCACCTAACACAGGAGCAACAAATTATATAAAGCAGCTATTAACAGACCAGAGGGAGAAGTCGACAGCAACACAATAATAGCAGGGGAGCTTTATTCCCACTTACATCAAGGGACAGATCTGGACAGAAAGTCAACAAAGAAACAGTGATCTTAAATGAAACACTAGACCAGATGAACTTAATAGATATATAGAGAACATTCCATCCAAAAACAACAGAATACACATTTTCTCAAGTGCAGATGGAACACTCCCAAAGGTAGACTATATGTTGAGAAACAAAACGAGCCTCAATAAATTTAAGAAGATTGAAATATATCAAGCATCTTTTCCAAACACATTGGTGTGAAACTAGAAATCAAGTACAAGAAGAAAGCTGGAAAAGGCACAAATACGTGGAGACCAAACAACATGTACTGAACAACTATTGGATCAATAAAGAAATCAAAAAATACCTGGAGACAAATGAAAATGAAACCATAAAATACCAAAACTTATAGGATATGGCAAAAGTGGTACTAAGAGGGAAATTTATAACACTACAGGCCTACCTCAAGAAACAACCAAATCTAAAATAAGCAATCTTACCTAAAAGAACTAGAAAAAGAAGAACAAAGCTCAAGTCAATAGAAGGAAGGAAATAATAAAAATCAGAGCATAAATAAACGAAATAGAGATAAAAAAAAAAGAAAGGTCAATGATACTAAGAGATGGTGCTTTGAGAAGATAAACAAAACTGACAACCCCTTAGCCAGATTCATTAAGAAGAGAAGAGAGAAGGCTCAAATAAATAAAATCAGAAATGAAAGAGGAGAAATTGCAATGGACACTACAGAAATATAAAGGATTATAAGAGAATAGTATGAAAAGATATATGCCAATAATTGGATAACCTAGAAGAAGTGGATAAATTCTTAGAATCACATGACTTCCCAAAACTGAATCAAGAAAAAATAGAGAATCTGAATAGACTAATCACAAGTAAAGAGACTGAAACAGTAATCAAAAATCTCCCAAAAAACAAAATTCTAGGACCAGAAGCCTTCTCTGGAGAATTATAGCAAACATTCAAAGATGTAGTACTTATCCTTCTCAAACTATTCCAAAAAATTGAAGAGGAGGGGAAACTTCCTTACTCTTACTACAAGGCCAACATTACCCTGGTACCAAAACCAGACAAGGACAATGCAAGAAAGGAAAATTACAGGCCAGTATCACTGATGAACATAGATGCAAAAATCCTCACAAAATATTAGCTAATCGAATACAACAATACATTACAAGGATCATACACCACAATCAAGTGGGATTTATTCCAGGGACGCAGGGATGGTTCAATATCCACAAATCAATCAGTGTGATACACCACAATAACAAAATGAAAAATAAAAATCACATGATTATCTCAGTAGATGCAAAGGAAACATTTGACAAGATCCAACATCCATTTATGATTAAAAAAACTATCAATAAAATGTATATATAAGGAAAGTATCACAACATAATAAAGACCATATGTGACAAACATCATACCCACAGTGAAAAACTGAAAACTATTCCTCTGAGTACAGGAACAAGACAAGGATGACCACTCTTTCCACTCTTATTCAACATAGTACTGGAAGTCTTAGCAAGAGTAATCAGTCAAGAAAAGGAAATTAAAAGGAAGAAGTAAAACAAATAAGCAAATAGGAAAGGAAGAAGTAAAACTCTCACTATTTGTGGATGACATGATTCTATATATAGAAAACCCTAAAGAATCCACCAAAAAACTCAGAGAAACAATCAATGAATACAGCAAAGTTTCAGAGTGCAAAATCAACATGCAAAAATCAGTTTCATTTCTGTACACTAACAACAAACTAGCAGAAAGAGAAATCAAGAATACAATCCCATTTACAATTGCAATAAAAAGAATAAAATATCTGGGAATAAATTTAACCAAAGGGATGAAAGACCTATACACTGAAAACTATAGCACATTTTTGAAAGAAATTGAAGACACAAAGAAATGGAAGAATAAGCATAGTCAAAATGTCCATATTACCTAAAGCAATTTACATATTCAATGCAATCTCAGTGACATTCTTCATGGAAATAGAACAAAGAATCCTACAGTTTACACAGGAAAACAAAAGACCCCGAACAGCCAAAGCAATCTGGAGAAAAAAGAACAAAGTTGGAGGTATCACACTCCCTGAATTCAAAATATAATATAAAGCTATAGTAATCTAAAACAGCATGGTACTGGCAGAAAAACAGACATACAGATCAATGGAAGAGAATCAAGAGCCCAGAAATAAATCCACACATCTATGGACAGCTAATCTTTGACAGAGGAGCCAAGAACATACAATGGAGAAAGGAAAATCTTTTCAATAAATGGTGCTGGGAAAACTGGACAGCCACATGCAAAAGAATGAAAATAGACCATTATCTTACACCAGACACAAAAATTAACTCAAAATGGATTAAAGACTTGAATGTAAGACCTGAAACCAAAAAACTCTTAGAAGAAAATATAGACAGTATACTCTTTGACATCACTCCTAGCAGTATCTTTGCAAATACCATGTCTACTCAGGTGAGGGAAACAAAAGAAAAAATAAACAAATGAGACTACATCAGACTAAAAAGCTTCTTCACAGCAAAGAAAACCATGAAGAAAAAGAAAAGACAACTGACCAACTGGGAGAAAATATTTGTAAATTATATATCCAACAAGAGATTAGTTTCCAAAATGTATAAAGAACTCATACAACTCAACAACAACAAAATGAACAACCTGATCAAAAAATGTGCAGAGAGCGCTAGCCTGGTGGCATAGTGGTTATGTTTGGTGCACCCTACTTTCGCGGCCCCAATTCTCAGGTTCAAATCCTGGGTGTGAAAAGTACACCACATATCAGCTGTGCAGTGGCTGTGACCCATAT